ATTCTAATCATTAATACTGATAAATAGTTCAATGGAACAAACTAGAAAGTACATACGTAGATCTACACATATATGGAAGACTGATTTTTTTTTTTTAATTTTTTTTTTTTTCCAACGTTTATTTGTTTTTGGGACAGAGAGAGACAGAGCATGATCGGGGGAGGGGCAGAGAGAGAGGGAGACACAGAATCGGAAACAGGCTCCAGGCTCTGAGCCATCAGCCCAGAGTCTGACGCGGGGCTCGAACTCCCGGACCGCGAGATCGTGACCTGGCTGAAGTCGGACGCTTAACCGACTGCGCCACCCAGGCGCCCCTGGAAGACTGATTTTTGACAAAGGTGCAAAGGCAATTCAGTAGGGAACCAATAGTCTTTTCAGCAGATGGTGCTAGAAGAATTGTCTGTCCATATACACAAGTGAACCTCAACCCATACCTCACGCCGTATACAAAAATTAACCCAGAATGGATCACAGATTTCAGTGCAAAACCCCAAATATACAATTTTTAGAAGAAAATATAGGGGGAAAATTTTATAACCTTGGACTAGCACAGATATTTAGATACAAGACCAAAAACAACATACGTGAAAGTAGAAATCGATTCACCAAGAGGAAAAACTTTTGTCCTGTCAAAGACACGTTAAGGGAATTAACATGAAGGGAATTCTCTCTGCCACAGAGAGAGAGAAAACATTGGCAAATTACGTATCTAATAAAGGACTTGTATCTTTCAGAATATATGAAGAACTCTTAAAAGTCAATAAAGAAGAAAACAAGGATCTCAAGTAAAATAATGGGCCAACAATTGGAAGGGCCATTTCACCAAAAAAGATACACGAATGGCAAATACATACGTGAAAACATGCTCAGTGTAATTTGTCACTAGGGTAATAAAAACCCCAATTAGATAGCACTACACATCTAGAGCAGTAGCTCACATTATGAAGAGTGACCATCCCAAGTGCTGCTGAGAAGGTGGAGGAGGTAGAAAGCTCATTCATTGCTGGTGGGAATGTAAAATGGGCTAACCAGTTTGGAAAACAGCTTGACAGTTTTTTTTTTTAATGCTAAACACAGATCCACCACATAATTCAGCCATTCTAGTCCTATTTATCCAAGAGAAATGAAAGCAGAGGTCCATTTAAAGAATTCATATGAATATTCAGAGACTTGTTTGTGATAATCAAATACTGGGCGCTCCCCAAAGGCTCATCAACAGTTGAGTGGAGAGAAAGAACTGTGGTCTGTCCATGCAGTAAAATGCCACTCAGCAAAAAAGGAATGAACTATCAGAACACACTGCAACATGGACGGATCTCAAAATAATTTAGTTGAGTGAAAGAAATCAGGCAGCAAAAGAGAGAACATAATGTACAAGTCCAGTTTTATAAAAGTCTAGAAAACACAATCTATCGTGACAGAAAGCAGGACAGTGGTTGTTTGGGGATGGGAGGTGCAGGGACAGTCAGGAGAGAGGGGCTGCAGAAAGGTGGGAAGAAACTTTTGGGGTGATGGAAATGTCTGCTATCTTGCGATGGTTTCAGGGATACATATGTCAAAAGACATCAAACTATACACTTTAAATATGCACATTCTGGTATGTCAGTTGTACCTCAATAAAGCTATTTTTAAAACTTATGATTTGGCTTCAGGCACCTAGAGCAAGATACTGGTTTGAGAGCTGCAAAAGTCATGGAACAATCAAGATATTAACTATGCTTGGTTCTAAAACGTGACATTGTCTTTAACTGTGAAATAACACATTCTTGTTAAACACCCCAAAATAGGTCATAAAGTCTATACTGAGGCTCTCAGGACACACACCGATCACTTGATAGGTAACAAGTCATTTCAAATGGGTTTCACCACCTCCTTTTTTTCTCTTTCCTTAACTTGGGAAAGGAGAAGGTGGGGATATGAAAACAGATTTAATATAAGGCAAGATATACAACAGGTTGTTGGAAAGTTATTTGAAACCAGAAAATGGGTATCAGTATCCAAAAAATAAATACAAGGAAAGATTTTTCTTCACCTTTACCATTTTTTTTTTTTTTTTTTGTATACCCTTTCTTCCTTTCCTGTCCTTTTTCCCTTTCTTTCCTTCCACCTCCTGCCTCTTACCCCCACATCCCACCCCACCTTTGCTGGCAGGGTTGCCCAGAAGTTCAGACTATAGCACGAACTGGAACAGACTGTCCAAGTTCAAACCTCATGCTGTACTCCTGTACTCAGTATGGTATTTAAGATCTCATGCTTTAGCCCCCCCTGTCTGTAAATAGGGTAATACCAAAAGTTCCTTCTCTCCGGACTGCTGAGGATTAAATGATTTGATATAGGTAAAGCACTTAAAACAGGCAGAACCACGGTTAACAGCATGCAAGTGTTACCGTTCTCATGGCCCCTAATCTACGACAGACATGTTGGACTCCAATCAGTTAAATGGAAAAAGCCCTGGGCTCGGAGAAGACGGCAGAGGGCATGAGATTCCAGGAGCTGGAACCCAGTCCTGGCTTGGCCAGTCCCCAGCTCCCTGCCCCCATCTGAGCTACTGATGCATCAGAGCTTAAACTGTTTACTGGGGGAATGAGGACGGTCTCCATGGTCCCGTCCAGGTGTTAGCACTGCTTTTTATCGTTCACAGTTACATAAACATTATCAAATGAAAAGCTTTTTGACAACTGTTAGGCACAAGGGAGATTTTCATGTTACAACGTAGGTCATTCATTATTTAGTAAGAAAGACAAGTAACCTTGCCAATTATAGGGACGGAACAACTGATAAAACTTCAGCAGAACACCAAGTGACTTCTTCAATGTTTCATGAGAAATTTTAACACGCAGTTTATCGTCTTCCGAAATGGGACCCATGTGAAGTTCTGGATGGGAACTCCCGCTTCTCAAAGCTATGCATGGATCTCTTGCAAGTTTAAGAGTTTGTGTACTTTGCCTGTGGTGGACGGGGCACCACTGGCTTGGCCTTAGTGACCCCCATGCCCCCAGGAGAAATCACTTCAGAAGTGCCCTGGAGCTATTCTGTCTTCTCCCAGGGTGGCAGCAGGAGTGGTGAGTGAAGTAACCATAGAAAGGAAAGCTAGTCAGTTCACATGGCTTCCTTCACGGGAAATTCACCGGACTAAGTGTAACAATAAGTGAAACAACCTACCTATGATGCTGCCATCCAAGACAAGCTCTTGGCTTTTAAAAGGGGGCAGATTTCATGTGGAGACCGTCTTCAGTGGTGAGCCAGACAGCAGGGTTGTAATGTTACTTTGAAGGGGATACAGTATAGCCATGATGAGGAGGGAAATTTCCTCTGTTAACATCCTCCTGCAGTAGTGGTCAAGTGTGTGAGCAATTCCTCACACTTTAAAGATTCAAGTAACTTTTAGGAGTGTTATACTCCCATCGGGTCAGGTCCTTATCCAGAAACGGAATCACTCAATCTGTCCACTGAAGACATACTGACTACAGGGACCAAACAGGAATTTTATTAAAACAAATGGAGATTGATTAGCCCTCATGATGAGTCCCCAGTCCCACGGAGAGGATTTTTGATGTTCCTTCTAATTCCTAGCAGAAGTCTTTGCACTGATCTCTGCTCCCACAACGTGGTTCATTCTGTCATTTGCTGCTAGTGACATTCACCCGTCTCAACTGGCACATTGTTGTAGCTGTTTCGAGAAAGCCGGAGGTATCGGTAGCCTTATGGACACTGTGTAATCTGTTGGGGTAAGTGCCAGACTCCTGTCCCTTCTAGCTAGTAGTTTCAGAGATTGGGCAAGAGCAGTTGAACTGATTCAGGTATCTCGATGGGTCATTGTAAAAGACCAGAAGCAGGAACTGGCTTAGTTTGATTAAACGGCATCTAGGTTAGGGCTTGAAATTTTGAGTGTATAAATGTATGTGTGTGCCCATATATTTGGGATAGCAAACGGGAAACTCAGATTTTGACCTGATGTCCAAGATGAGGCTGGTTAAAGCGTAGTGAGGAATCTTTATAGATCACTGCTAAGTACCATGGGAAAAAAATCCTTTTAGTTTATTAAAACTTGGGAAATATAAGAAATAAAACACAACTCCACAGAAATATGAACTACCAGTTTAGTGTATTTCCAATAGATGCTTTTCTGTGCACATTTTCATATAGTTGAGATCAGATGTATACACTATTTTGCCTCTTACTTGCACTTAAGATGCTCTATGCATTCACTATTTTTGTAATTTTTTCAACGTCAAAATAATATCCTACTGTAGTTATATTCCAATATGGTTAACCACTTCCTTATTGTTGGCCATAGTGTTCTACTGTAATAAATAATGCTGTCATAAACATTTGTGCATAAATCATTATACCTTTTCTCCTTAGGACTATTTCCCGGAAATGACATTACAAGATTCAAGAATCAATACATTTTGAAGGCTCAGGACATTTTTAAGGGTATTTTGACACAAACATTTGGTAAAGTGTTTGTGTCAAAATACCCTTCTACCGGCTGTGTATGGGAATGTTCCAACTCGTGCCATCATTATCAGCATTGAATATTTTTAAAGTATTTTTCACGTTTTATTTATTTATTTTGAGAGAGAGAGAGAGCCAGAGCACAAGCTGGGAAGGGGCAGACAGAGGGAGAGAGAGAATCCCAAGCAGGCTCTGCACTGTCAGCACAGAGCCCGATGCAGGGCTTGAACCCACAAACCGTTGAGATCATGACCTGAGGCGAAATCAAGAGTCAGATGCTTAACTGACTGAGCCACCCAGGCACCCCGGATATTTCTTGAAAGAAAAAAAACCCTTGCTAATTTAATATTAAAACATTACCTTACTGTAATTCCATTCACATTTCTGATTACTGGTTACAATATATTTACTCTTTTGTTTTTCCTCTTCTGTCAACAATGTGTTCATGACCTCTGCCTATTTTTTTCCGTTTTTCATTCGCATTAATGAAATTTTGTTTTGCCAAGTCTCCACTGAAGCATTAATCAGACACTCACTAGAGGTCATTTTATTGAATTGATTTAAATATTTTATTTAAAGAAATATTCTCAAGACTATAGTTTATTGGTAGGAAAAATAGAAATCATACGTGTTTAAAGATCATTTTGTACTGACATTATGCGAAATCGACTTCTCCAAGTAACATTATTAGTTTCGCAGTGATACTAGTGGAATGCATGCTGCAGAAACATGGTTTTACCTTCAAATCTGAGCACATTACCCTTACATCAGAAAAGAAAAAGGGATAATAAAAAACGCCACTTGGGTTAGTTCAAAGTTTAGTAGACCACATCTGATTTGTTGAAGAGTGAGTTCTTTTATTTACCTCTTCAAGGAAGTGCTTATTTTTTTCACTTCTTTCTGTGCATCTTTATCCTATAAAGAAAATACAAATACACAATGAAATTTCACACACTTATCCTGCTACTCTAGCTACTTTGAAACAATCTTTGGTTGAGCGAGGGGATACTTTGTGAGGGACCATTACAAGGAAACTACAGATTTCTGAGATCCAGGCAGGATTCAGATCTCCGAGACCATGTGTAATGCAGAGAGCTACTCCCAGGCTGTTCCCCCACCGGGTCTGGAGGGGTGGGATACCGGAAGAAGAGATCCTTCGGTGTAAGCTGACATATTGGCCCTCACCACTGTGTTAATGGTAACATTGATTTTTTTTTTTTTTCAGCTGTATGATGTGGAAGAAGTCCTAGCCTCAGCAGCAGGATTGGAAGAAATTGGAGATTCCACTGCAAGATCCAGGCTAGCTATACATTTCATCACTGACATCATCAAGTAGTTTATATTAAAGGTGAAAAGCCATATAATATGTTTTCTACATGGTCTAATATATTCCACTTGTTATTTCTTTAAAACAAGAGTGGAGGTTAGAAACAGTGGCAATAAATTTAGATGGCAGGGTACTCCTATGCACTTTTGCATTTAACATTTATTGAGTACCTATAATTAGAAAGAATTTAAGGGGTGTAACAAATTAAAACAAATAGATGAGAACAAATGAACAACATAATATTTGGAAGTGGCTGTTAGATTAAACAAACAAACAAACAAACCTGGAAGTTCTTCAATAGTTTTAATCATAACGTAGTGTCTGGTCGATCAGATGTCTACCTACTAGCAAATCAGTATTTTTTCAAGGTTGTGAGAAACTATGATTAATGAATTTAGGGGATTAATGCATTATTTAAAATAACATATAAAAAATACGTTTATCTTGGTAATTCATGTTTATCTTGGTAACCCTGGGGATAGTTCAGTGCCTGGCACCGATAAGTCCCTCAGTAGGATACCTATTAGCAGTAACATTTCCCATTAATCGATGTTTACGGATCAATTTCTTGCAGAATAATGACATAAGCGAGAGAATCGTTTCAACTAGATGCCTAAAGGAATGAAGGAATGAACGTGCACAAACCAGAAGGAAAGATTTAAAATTAAGATCACAGCTTGGCAATATGTGTCCTCGCGCACCCCCACCCCCCCACCCCAATTCAACTGGCAGTGAACGCGCTCACCGCACACCCACAGCCACACCCGCCCACACAACACCCCTCCCGTTGTACCTTGTTCCCGGGGCTTCCATCCAAGCATTTTATTTATTTATTTGTTATGTGCAGGTTTTTTAGCTCAAAATGCCAGCTAACGCCGCTACCCCCAAACACGCTTTCCTCTGTTATTGCCCCAAATGTCTGCCCTTCCCACCATCAACCCTCATTGGGTACTCCCCCCAATACCACCCTCCTTGAGCCAACCTCCCACTTTTCCTCTTTTTCTCACACATGTCTACAGAGCTCCCTGGCACTCCTGTTAGGGGACTTGTTTTGAAGTCATTTTTGTATAACCAGCAATGCATTTGCTGAGAATATATTTTGGGGGTAGAGGATAATTGTCCTCTGCCATTTCTTATAGCTGTTAATCTCCTGGTCACTCTCCTTTTACATTTGTTTTTTAAGACTTTGGCACCTGGGTCACTCTCCATGCCAAGGTCTGCCATCACTGTTGGAGACATCCTAGTCCCCATGGACCGTGGATCCCACCTTCCTGGAGTTAGCCTCCTCACCTCCGATGCCCTCCCCCATCACCCCGGTGAGCGGACCCTGGGCTGTGTCATGACCTACAACTGCCCTACCTCTGAAATAGGTGTCCTGCCCTCTGAACACAACTGCCCGTCTTTTCGTGTCATTTATCCAATTACTCTCAATAACAATAATTTTTCAACTTCCACAGATTAAGAGATTTTTTTTTCCTTCTTGTTCTCTGCCAGCTTTCTCCTGCTTTGACTTATTTTTTTGTTTGTTTGTTTTGCCTTGACTTGTTTTCTACCCACTTTAGACTCTATATCCAGCGACCTTTGAACTAAAAGACAAAAGCCCTTTCCCCCTCTGTGGCACCTGCCCTGGGTCTCTACAAACCCCCAAGTCCACAAATCCGTCAACTTTTCTATTGTGTTGGCAACAAAAAAAGAGAACCCTGATGCGCTCTGGATGCCTTTCTGACCTCCTAAGGGCCTCCCTTATTCTCCCAATTATCTCCTCACTCCCTGGTCGTTCTTGAATCCTTCCTTCTTTGCGGACCTTCTCGTCATTTAAATATGCTCCCCTATTTCCCATCTAAAAAAACACAACAATTTCTCACCTCTGGCACCACTTCTCCTCTCTTCCCCATCAAACTGTTGGGAGTGCATCTACCAGCACCGACCGCGTTGTCTCAGTGCTCTGCACGGTCTCTGCGGCTATCGTTCCACTGACAACAGTCTGGGTTAAGATCACCAGTGACACAGACATCATTGAACTCAGCTCATTCCAGTCCTGACTTCTCCAGGGTTTCTGACAGAGGTGACCACTTCCACCATCCTTTGGCTTCTGAGGCCCTGTCTCGTGGGGTCACTTCTGCTGGTCTCCCTTGTAGCTTCCTTTTCCTCCTCCCCTTCCATTACACTGCTGTTTCTCAAAGCTGATCCTCTGCCTGTTGCCTTTCAAACACTACATAACTTCACTGGGTGACCTCTGCTACCTTGTGGCTTCAGACATCATTTATGTGGCAAATATAAAATCAGTTTATGGATTTGAAAATCTCACAAACTCAAAATGTCTATAACTGAGCTCACCTTCTCTACCAAATCTGGCTCTCCAATGCTCCCCGGGTCCTTAAAGGGTACCTCCATCTACCCTGGTCCGTTTCTAAAGCCAGGAACCCCGATCTCATTCTCGAGTCCTCCAACTTCTAGATACTCAATTTCTAAGTCTTGTAGAGAACACCAGCCACGAATCCGTTAAGTCTGCGTATCTCCGTTCACTGCTCACTGCCATCATCTTAGTCGGCATCACCGGCTCAGGTCTGTGCTACTTGCGGTAGTTACTCAAACGCTACTCCTTCCTCTGGTTTTGCTTCCCTCCAAGCCACGCCAGTCCCCACAGGGTAGCCAGTGTGCCCGCCCCAAAATCTCATTTGTCACTTGTTGCTTAAGACCCTGTAATGGTTTTTCCCTGCCTTTAAGAAAAAGACACAAGGCTCTCATCTCTTCTTTCCCTCTTGTGCCCAACATTTCAGCCATATTGTTATTTGATTCGACGCTTTTAGGCCTATTTTTCCGTTCCAAGCCTTTGTCTGTTTTTAGTGTTTCATAAGATAGGGCATGTCTGCTACCTGCGTCAGTATCACCTGAGATAATGTGAATTACTTACAAAGTGTGTGTTTAATTGTCCAGGTCTCCATTCGCCCTTGCCATGTAGATAACATATTTCAACACTAATGTCATCATTAGAACACATTATTTTGTGTTCTACATTTTTTTTTCAGTTACATTAAAAGTTGTTTTCTGATTGAACAAAGTTTTTGGAAATATGTTGAGAGCTGCAAAAAGAATAGAAGCTGATAGCTTTCGACAGTGATGTAATAAAGGAAAAATGGCCCCAATACTCAGCATAACGTTTCATTATTTTTTTTTAAATTTTTTTTTCAACGTTTATTTATTTGTGGGACAGAGAGAGACAGAGCATGAACGGGGGAGGGGCAGAGAGAGAGGGAGACACAGAATCGGAAACAGGCTCCAGGCTCTGAGCCATCAGCCCAGAGCCCGACGCGGGGCTGGAACTCACGGACCGCGAGATCGTGACCTGGCTGAAGTCGGACGCTCAACCGACTGCGCCACCCAGGCGCCCCTCATTATTTTTTTAAAGACAAATACCAATGCGTTAGATTTTTTACCAACAACTTTTATTAATCTACTGAGGAAAGATTATCTTATTGCCCATTACAGCTTACAAATTCTGCATTCAACATTTCCAAGAATGCATCACGGTACTTCTTTCTACTACGTTTATTTTCAGTGATATGTCATTTGCCAAAAGTCTAAATTATAGACTGAATTGTGTTTGAAAGGGTTCTTGATAGTTTCATTTTCCAGTATGAGTTTTCTTATATAAATTGTAGATAAAGGCATTTCTACTTTGACTTGAAGCCTGGGAGACTTCCCAGTGTGAGCATTTTAAGGCTGACTAAGGCATATGTGATCACGGAAGTCTTTCCTTCCATCATGATACTGAGAGTGTCCTATACAGTGACAATCCTCACATGTCCTGTAACGTTGCTCTATGAGGAAAGGGGTTCTCATGTTCATTTCATTGAATTGCTTCTCTAACATGAATCATCTAGTATTTCCCAAATGGCTTCCTCCTCCTGGTAAAGACTTGCTCCCTTCCTGCTTGGTTTGCTCAGTGTTCTGTGCATTTGAAGCCTTGAGCTTTGGCTGAAGGTGACAGAGTTTCTCCCCTGTGGGAACTCTTGTGTCTATAAAGGTTAAAGCTGAGGCTGAAGGTTCTTCTCCATTCATTACATTTATAGGGTTTTGCTCCGGCGTGTATTTTCATGATGGCTAAGGTTAGAACATCAGCTAAGGGCTTTACCACATAGATGACATTCGTGTAGTTTCTCTGCCGTGTGAATTCACTCAGGCTGTTTCAAGGATGAGTCGTTACTGGGGGCATTTCTGCTCTGATTATAGGCAAAGGGTTTTCCTCCTGTGTGAATTCTCTGCTGTGAACAGAAGTTAGCTCTTGGGCTGAAGCGTGTGCCACGTTCGTTACATTGGTAGGATTTCTTTCCAGTTAACACATGCTGGATCACTTGAGCTGTGGGTATTTCCCCATTCTCAAAGAGCTCCTCTCCAGTGTGAAATCTCTGCTACTAACGGGGACAGGAGAGGACATGAAAGGCGTGCCTGCATCCACTCGTCTATTCATTTTTCTACATATGAATTCTATGTTGATCCTTCAACGATGGTCTCCAAATAAAGTCTCTGCCGCATTGGTTACACTCACATGGTGTGATACTCTCCTCCGTGTAAGCGTTTTTCTTCA